CTCCTTACCCCATTTAAATTGGTCAGTTTCCTCCAATTATTAACAGTTAAGTAATGGAAGAAAAGATTGCACACATTTTTACAAACCTGAAAAGGAAAGAGCTACCAAGCTTGGCTAAACCGGAATTAGAAGAATGTGTGGGGGCTGATGTGAGATTTAATAGAATTTACAGGCAGCCTTTCTGGAAGTCAACTGAAAGTATTAACACATTCTCAGGATGGAACTTCACACAGGCTTCTTCTGTATACTTAGAACTTTTTCATCATGTTATATACTGTATATTTTTAAAAAATTCATTTTGTAGAAAAAATTTTTACTTAAAAAAGGAAGGCAATTATAGATGTTTAGTAACTAAACAACATCTATTGACCAGCTAATAAAGCAAGTTTCTAAGAATCCTTTTACAGACATACACAAAAGTTCCTACGCTTTTCTCTTTTGGTAGAATTCCTTATGTTGATTCTGGCTTGACCAGAGAAAGGAACATTCCAGAAGAAAATGGGTATGTTTCACATATAGAAACCCGCCCCCCCACATATATAATTTCTGCATTATAAAAACATTCCAATTTTAATAAAAGGCTCACAACATAGATTCAGTGGCAAATCTCATCTCCCTTGATAATTAGTATGGGCCATGTGTCTATGAATCTTGGTAACATGGTTTTTAGGGAAAGTAAACATTTATTGGATAAGGATAAATAAGTGATAGACAAGGATTTGTTTATTACATGTATTTATTTCAGTGGAATGCACTGAATTCCATATCTATTAGTTATTTAAAGCATATCTCCATGTGCTAATAGTGCACAATTATTTATTTGGGCAAAGGTCTCATCACATCAGAAGAAAAGCTCAGATGTGCTTATTCAGTTAGTATACAGTACTAGTATTTCTTAAAGGCATCTTGTCTGAAATACATTTTGTTTAAAATGTTACATACATATATATCCACACACATATACTATTCCATTTTTGGATAAGCAACAGTATAAAGGCACAAAAAAGAAGTATGAAATAGTAAGTGAAAATAATGAATGTGATCAGAAACATACCTAACAATAATCTTCAGCAAGATAATCCATTATCTCTTTCCAAACCTTTCTGTCTTTGCAACCATGTTTGATTCCACATACATTGACCTTTGGTTCTTTAAACTTCTTATCTCTCTCTTTTTCAGGATCAAATCTGTACTTTAAGGTTTTAAAGTCCCTAAAACTGTTGACTCTGTTACACATTTAATTTCATCTTTATACAAATATGTTTGACAGAATATATCAACAGAAGTCAATACACCTATTTTCATATGCTTTCAAATGTACTCAAAGTTCTTATTTCCTTCAGTTCTAAGTAGCCTTTCCATACCATGCTGTTCTTGCTACTTGGTCAATTATAGTTATATAATGAGAAAAGTGGAAGAATGAACACCACCCTTTAAATTGCCATCCATATTCAACACTTTCAGTATCTGTTGATTATAGATCACAGATAAGTCACCTTTCATATCTTTTCAACTTTAAAATCCCTGTTGTTTGGCCATGCTAGTTGGGGTGCATGAGTACTATAGTTCAAATTTCCTACAGTGAATGAAACGTTTTTGAAAAGCAATGCTGTTAATATTTTGAGAAACTTATGAAAAACAGCAGAATGGATTGACTTATTTAACCTTGGGTTGTAACAGACTATATTCATCGTATGCTTACTGCTTTGATGATTCTGCATCACTATACTACCGGCAGCTACACAAAGCTTAGTATCTCAATCAATAGCTACATCCTGCTTTATTGCATTATGGAGGCCTGAAAATCTTTGGCTCATGGCAGAAGTGTTACATCNAACAGAAAACACACGGGGGGGGGAAGGTCCTTCTGATGGTTAAGTCCCTTTTCAAGACTTGGGATAGGCCAAAACGACCGGCCGCTAAGGTTAGGTCCATGGCCGGGCTCTCTGGGCCGGGTCCTCCACCGAACCACCGGACCGCCGAACCCCGGCCCCTACCCTTGCCGAATCCACCGCCACGTCTATAGGCCAAGTTAACTTTCTGTTTCTTCAGCTTCCAATCACTATCACCAATCACCATCAGTGATTCTCGGGATGATTTAGTGTGTTTAGTTGGGCACACACTTTTAGTGTTACATTTTACTATTTGCCTTTCTTCAGCTATTTCAGTGAATTGGAAAATAGCCATTTCTTCTTCTTTTACTTTTTAGTGTGTGTATGTGTGTGTGTGTGTAATGATATCATGTTTTCAAGCCAGAGTTCTTTGGGCATTTATTTTATTTATCAAATTAATCATTTTATCTATTTTGTAAAGGTTCTTAAATAATTTTGGGATAAATGATTAAATATCAGTGTCAATTAATCTGCTAGTGTTAATAAATCTGTTAGTGTTCCAGAAAGTAGATTGGGATCTACTGTTAGAATATTGGGCTATTTTTAGTACAATGGTGAAGGATTTCAGACTCCCAACTGTTTAATAATAGAAATGATAAAATAGCTCCTTTGCCATCTCAAACTATGCAGCAGAACAAAAGGAAATCTAGGGCAGGGCTTTTCAACCGGTTGTATGCTTACCACTGGTGGTACATTGGCACATGGCAGGTGGTACGCAGCCCTGCCTAGCCTAGCCAAATGTAGTGGGGGAGGGAACGAGCCAAAGTGGCGTGGTGCAGGACTTGCCCTGAGAGAGAGTCTTCAGGAGCTGCAGGGCTGCTGCTGGGGCAAGACAAAGATCCCAGGATCAGCACTTCCGGCACACCCGGAAGAGAAAGGAGGAAGAGGGCGAAGACAGAAAGGAATATAAAAGGAGGCAGTTTTGGCAGGAGAAGGAGGAAAAAAAGACACCAGAAAAAGAGTCAGAAGAGAAAGGGCTTTTGTCAGAGAAGCGATGAGAGAGAGAGAGACAGAGACAGGAAAGACTTTTGGGGAGATGTATGTGTGTGTGTGTGTGTGTGAGAGAGAGAGAGAGAGAGAGGCAGAGAGGAAAGGCTTTTGGGGGGAATTGTGTGTGTGTATGTGTGTGAGGGAGAGAGAGAAAGGCAGAGAGGAAAGGCTTTTGGGGGGAACTGTGTGTGTATGTGAGAGAGAGGCAGAGAGGAAAGGCTTTTGAGGTATGTGTGTGTGAGAGAGAGAGGGGGGGGCTTTTGAGAGGGTGAGGAGAAAGAGAGGAGAGGGAGAGAAGAAGAAGGGCCGACCAGCCACCTGACCATCAAGGTAGTGGTGCATATTAATAAATATAGATAAATTCATCATACATTTGTCAGTGTAAAGGGACAGTGATTCAGCAAAGGAACTGCCACAGAAGAAATTAAAACCGGTACTTTTTTTCCTTTTTTTAGTTTTATTTTATTAGATTATAGAATAAAATACAAAAAATAAAATACAAAAGCAAATAGTAGGACACAGTGGGGAGGAAAAAGGGGGAAAAGTGAGGGGGAAAAGGGAAAAAGAAAAGAAAAGGCTTTGATTTCCAACTTCCTCTGTTGCAGTACAAGGAAGCATTAACATTGAACCTCAACTTTTTACTTTTCCATAATATTATAAACTAGCTGTCAACGCTGTGACGATGGATGTTGTCGCTCTGACAACTGAGAACCAGCAGCCATTTTTTCTCTTGCTTTTAATGTGCCCTTCTATTCTTTTAGAGTTCAGATGCAGAAGGGTGGGGTGGGGTAAATGCCTGAGGGTTTAGCTAGCCATAACAATGTAGAAGTGTGGAAACTCAAGGATGTGTTCTGATAAGGTTTTGGTGGCCTGAGGGGCCGTCCGTTTTGTGCTAATTGGGGAATGTGATTTATGACAGCTCTTGTGGGGTGGGAATTACAATTTGTTACTTTGTATCTGGGAGGAGGGAATCTCATTCTTGGGTTCAACTATGTAAGTGCCGATACTTTGTTTCCTAAATAAAATGTTCTTTAAGGAAGAATTCTTGCCTTGAAGTTCTTTTACTGGTTTTATCTATCCTATCGGAACCATGACACTAGCCATTTCTATAACAACAAATGAATCCCCAAATCCCCCCCTTTTTTTAAGTCATCAAGCTTTTGACACCTTGCTAAGCACTGGTGATACTCAAATATTGTCATGTCCTAAAAATGGTACAATCTGTGAAAAGGTCTAGGAAACCAGGAATGGATTTTTATATGCATAAAAAACAATGAAATACTGTATTCAAAACAAATTGTTAGGCTCCTAGGTTTTTCATTCTAAGTGTAACTGATCCTAGTTGGTGGAACTTGAGAGTCTAGTAAGACGATAAAAGATTTCACAAGCTTGAAGCAATACCACTACTGCAGAAATATACCCATCCTGGTCTACATAACTTCCTGAAAGCCTGTCCAGATATGAAAAACCAATTATCCCTTAATTAGAAACTCTATTGTTTTTAAGCAATAGAAACTGAACTGGAGCTTTCAAACAAAGCCTTCTTTTACTGACCAAGTTGGAGAGTGCATTTAGTATTGTATGTGTACATTTGCTATCCTCATCTACTGAACCAAGACAGGTTTTCTGCAATTCACAGGAGACTCAAACCAAGGAAAGGCAGACAAACATATGACTATGCTGATTTGAAGCTTAATTGATAGGGTCAAATATTTGCAGAAAGAATAAAAAATAGTTCACGCAGTGCTGAAGTTCAGGATAATTCAGTAAATCAACTAATAATAGATAAGAAGATTAGCAATAAGCATTTTTCATGTAAACTATTTACTTCATGCTAACTTAAGTTGTTTTAATTGTGATTTAACTGTTATTTTTACTGTCACTGTAGTATTATAAACCACTTTGGCTAAACATCAGAATGAGATACAAAACCATAATCACTGCTTACCAAATTCAATATAGTACTACTTAAATTAATTTTAATTTTATTTTAGACTTATTGTTCTTTTTAACACAGTAATGTTTAATCAACATAAACATTAATGTTTTATATTTTGGTCTCTAATCTTGATGCACTTTTTAAATATCTTCAAATCAACAGGCTGAAAATTCTCCACCTGATTCAACCAACGCTACTGTAATTTAAATCCATTTTACTAGACCACTATAGTGTTCTAGAAGTCAGTGCTCAGCTGCTTATGGCTCTGTTTTGTTTTTGTTTTGTTTTTTTAAAAACTGGTTTAGAAATAATGTGAGACAATTTCTGGAGAATATGCCTTACAAGAACTATGAATTTTGACACTTAAGCAAACCTTTGAATTTAGAGACAAAATTTCTTCAAGTAGCAAAATGATGATGTGAAACAAAAAGATCATCTTGTGATTTCCACGAACTACTTTGCTGGCTATGTAGGTAGATGCTGATTGTATTTTATTCTATACAGTTTATTAGCTTATTTGCCATAAATCACATACTTAAACACTGAAGCTATTAATTAGAACAATTAAGGCAACACCCATATACTTACTTGAGTTTTTTTTCTGATTACTTTATGTTTTAATCTCTGTATCCACTTCCTAAATTTTTGTGCCATTATTGTTACATTATTAATATTCAGTTTGGAAATATCTATAGAATTAAGCGATTTACCGATTTTATATTCTGTATTAGCCATTCATACTTTTAGTCGGTTAGTCATTTTTTAGCATTATATATAGTTTTTGGTATAACAAATAGGTAGAACAGTATACCAATTGCATAGATTTATATAGCATTAAATTCATAGCTGATTTTGTAATTCCAGTTATGTTTATAATCTTAAAGGTATTGTTATTCAGTTTTTAAATCTGTTCTAGTGTAAAAAAGATGTTGAGACTCTAGAAAGAGTACAGAGAAGAGCAACAAAGATGATTAGGGGACTGGAGGCTAAAGCATATAAGGAAAGGCTGCTGGAATTGGGTACGTCTAGTTTAATGAAGAGAAGGACGAGGGGGGACATGACAGCAGTATTCCAATATCTCAGGGGCTGCCACAAAGAAGAGGGAGTCAAGCTATTTTCCAAGGCACCTGAGGGCAGGACAAGAAGCAACGGATGGAAACTAATCAAGGAGAGAAGCAACCTAGAACTAAGGAGAAACTTCCTGACAGTTAGAACAATTAACCAGTGGAACAACCTGCCTCCAGAAGTGGTAAATGCTCCAACACTGGAAGTTTTTAAGAAGAGACTGGACAGCCATTTGTCTGAAATGGTATAGGGTTTCCTGCCTGAGC